ATAGCAAGGCCCTGTCTCAAAAGGAAAAAGGAGGGGAAAAAAATACCAGATTCATTAGGAAACAGGAAGTAAAAGACTCAGAAAAGGTATTGAGGAGGCGAGCTAGGAGTAGGGACGGACGGATACCCCAGAGTGACATGCACACACACTAAGAATTCAGGCCAGGATGGCTCAGAAGCCAACAGGACAGGTCACCAAAAAGCACCAGAGATGCCACAACTGGGAGACCTGGGGCCAAATCAGAAGATGAGCCTGGGACAGAAGTCCATCGAACAATGCTGAAGAGAGCATGCCCGTGCTCTTGTTGCAGGGTTGGGCTTACAGAGGAAAGAAATGGTAGTGTGAAGTAACAGGACAGTGTATAAATGATAGGTAAGGAGGGAGAGGGAGAGAGAAGGGGGGCAGGAGGGGGAGAGAAGGGGGGAGACAGGGAGAGGGAGAGGGAGGGAGACAGGGAGGGAGGGAGAGAGGGGGAGAGGGAGGGAGAAAGGGAGAGGGAGGGGGAGAGGGAGAGAGGGACGGGGAGAGAGAGGGAGGACAGAGGGGTAGAGAGGGAGGGGGAGGGGGAGAGGGGAGAGAGAGACAGAGACAGAGACAGAGAGAGACAGAGACAGAGACAGAGAGAGAGAACCATACTTTATAACCATGGGTTAAATTACACATGACAGACTGGATGTAGTGGTGCATGCCTGTAATCCCAGCACTCGAGAGGCTAAGGCAAGAGAGCCACGGTGAGTTTGAAGCCAGCCTGGGCTGCATAGTGAGTTCAAGGCCTACTTACACTCTACAAGTGGGACACTGTCTTAAAAAAAAAAAGAAAAAGAAAACTAGCTATGAGTAAATCAGTGATAATCAAAATTAATAATTGTCATCAAAACATCTGATTCACAAATGTCCCTGTAAACAATGTCCTGTGCTCCTCTTGGCCTCAGGGGAGGTGGTCGTTTCCCCCTCAGGGGAGACCAGAGCTCACAGAGGCCCCGCGTCCTGTCCCAGGACACAGCGCTCGTGGTTCTGATGGGCTCCTTACACTGCCGGGGCAGGCTGAAGCTCGGGAGATTACATCAGCCCCTCTGACGGCAGCCTCTGGCCTTAGCATTCCAAGTTCCCCTGGGGGACCCCCAAGGGCAGGCAAGGTCATGGTGATGAGGAGACAGCACCCTGGGAAACGAGCTTAAAGGCCATCTTGGGCTGGCGAGATAGCTCAGCCGACTAAGTACCTGCTTAGGCAAGCATAGGGTCAGGGGTTCAATCCCATCCCACATGCCATGCCAGCCCTACCCCTGCGTGCACTGAGTTGGCCACCAAGACCAGCATGGTGGCACATGCCTGTAATCCAGCGCTGGTGAGGCTGGACACAGGAGGATCACTATGAGTCTGAGCAGCGTAGTGAGACCCTATACCAAGTATATTTTTTAAAAGAAGTATGTAAAGGCCGCATGGAAGGGCCTAAGGGGTGTAGAACACGACTTATAAGGACAAAGCACGGCTGCACCGACTAGGATCTCTGTGTGTTTCAACAGCACGGCAGAACTTGCAGACCCAGTAACTTCTGCCCGCGGCCAGCACGTCCCCTCCTTTCAGATGGGGTCTCTGCTCAGCGCACGCTCGAGCTCTCTGCTCTGTCAAGGCCTGCGTCTTCTTACCACCCGGGCACCGACCTGACTAGGGTTTGGGCCCTGGGGGAAGACGACTGGAGCCAGGGCGATGAGCCTATGCATCAGCGGTGCTTTCACTGACGTCCACAGCTGCTACGCTGTTGGGAGGTGAGGGTTCCGGGGGCCCTGGAGGACGGGCCCCTCACTCTGCTCCGGGGCTCCGCCTCCCGGCCCCGGAGGTGAGCATCTTTCCCCCACTACACCCTTTCTGCCTCAGTGCCTGCCTCGGATCCAGCCACCATGGACTGGATCCCACGAAGCTGTGAGCCACAGTAACCCTCTGCCTTACATCACGAGGGCAGGGTATTTTGTCTCAGCAATCCTAAAGCCAGCCAGGGTATCCTTCAAAGAGCAACCTTATGAATAAAGTAGGCCACAGAGGTAGGTGATTAAAAACAAACAGATGCCATAGGATGATGAATCATAATCCACATTAAAGCTAATTCAGGTAGAGAGCTGCCAAAAGTTAGTGAGGAAGACAGATCTGAAGAATGTGACTGGTCTGGGCACCCTCATTCTGCTACGACTTTTTTAAAGAATCGTTGTTCACATTCTATGCTGGTGTCTAGTATAAAACTATCCCTTAGCTTTAGAGCCCGCAGCTGCTAGGACCTGAATGAGATTTTCAGCAGGTTTCCAAGGCTGTTGTTTCACGGTAGAGTGGAGTGAATGTCTAGCTCTGGTGTAAGCGTGAAGGTGAGATCCCGCTTCTTTCCCTAACCTGTAGGAGTTGCCCAATAAATAAGCGCTATATTAACTTCTTATTGTTGCTGTCATAAATCAACACAAAGTTGAACTTAAAGCAATTCAAGTTTATTATTTAATCTGTAGGCCAAAAGTCCAAAACGGGTCTAAAATCAGTCTTACACTGCGTTGAAATGAATGTCTCATGTTGTATTTCTAAGTTGTTAGCAATGTAAAATATCAAAATGAAATTAGGAAAATATTAACTTATAGTAGTATCAAAAATCAAAATACTTAGGAATAAATTTAGCCAAGGTGGCAAAAGACTGTATACTCAAAACCATAAAATGCATAACATGAAAGAAATTAAAGAAGGGACTACAGAGATAGCTTGGTGGTCTAAGTGCCTGCCTGGCAAGTGCAAGGACCTGGGTTCGATTCCCTGTACTCCATGCTACGCCAGCCCCATGCTGAGCTGGCCCAGCAACTGGCGTGGTGGCACACACCTGTAACCCCAGCTCTGGAGAGGTGGGGACAGGAGGATCACTAGGAGTCTGAGCTGCATACCAAGATCCTGTACCAATTAAATAAATAAAACATTTTTTAAAAAGAAATTAAAGAAGATACAAACACACGAAAAGACATCCCATGTTCATGAATTAGAATTACTATTTTAAGATGGCTACCTAAAACAATCTGTAAATTCAATGCAATCGTTCTCAAAATCCTAGTAGTATTATTTCAGAAACAGAAAGATGTATCCTAAGGTTTCTGTAGGGTCTCAGGGAAGCCCCTCCAAAGGTAAATAACCTTTAAAAAGAAAAACATATTCAGAGGATGCATAGTCCTAATTTTAACATACACAGTTACATTTACCAAAACTGTGTGGCTGGAAGAAAGGTAGACCCTAGGCCCACAGGACCAGAGTGAGAGCTCAGAAGAGGATCTTCACTTTCCTGATCAAATGACTTCCATCCACAGGCCAAGACAGCCCATGAAGAAAGGGGGGTCCCATCAATGAACAATGCTAAGAAAACTAGCCATCCCCAACAAAGGAACAAAGTTACAATCTACGGCATACACTTACCTTACGCTGTCTACAAAAATTAAATGAAAAAGGGTTGAAGGCCTACACATAAGAGCTAAAACTGTAAAAGCCATAGAGGAAAGCAGACAAAACCTCCACGGCATTGGAAGTCCTAAAATTGCTTGCCAAGACCCGAAAGCCAAAGCGCCAAAGGAAAAAATAAACGAAACTAATCAAAAATTTTCACTTTCTGTACATTGCAGGACCCTACCGAAAGAGTGAAAAAGGAAACTCACATAGCCGATGAACATATTGATAAACCATGCAGTGGTGGGGACTAAGGGCCAGAGTTTATCAAGAACTATGAGTCAGCAACCACCACCAAAATGGGCAAAGGACTTGAACAGATGTTTCTCCAAAGAAGACGCACAAAATGACCAGCAAGCCACATGAAAGCCGCTCAGTGTCATGAGTCACCCAACCTAACTAACCAAACCCAGCAAGTCACCACTTCAACCCCCGAGATGGCCTTTGTACAAATGCAAATGAGCAGCAGGAAATAACAAGCGCTGGCAGGGCTGTGGGGAAATTAGAACCCGCACATCTCCGGCAGGCATCTCACACAGCACGCTTTCCATCTACCCGGCTGCTCCAGCTCGTGGGACAGAGTGGCTGCGAGACTGCCATGTGGGGCATCGACGCAGCTCTCCCCAAGGCTTTGGGAAGTCCACACTGACCGCTTCCGTGGGTCTTCATTAAAGAGATGCCTTTCTTGATAAGTACTGCTGCCATTGGGCCCGGCGCTTGACCTTTCTGCACCGACCCAGCTGTCCACAGTGCCGGGGAGCTGTGCTTGACAGTGGCCCTGCCTGCACAAGTTTAGTCCCTTTTAGCAACTTGGAAATCACCTGCAGTCGGGAAGTGTCTTCATGAGCTTCCCCCATCCCACCACCCAGCATCTGCAGAGTGGAAATCCCAAGGTGCTGGTGGAATGGAGGACGGCAGCCGATGAGGGTCTACACACCCAGGACTACACAGCCCAGAGGATCCTCCCAAGCCCAGCTCAGGCCCCTCCACTCAGACCGGGAAACAGCAGCTCTGGGAGAGGCCAGGCCAGGGGACAAACGCACAGATGTCCAGGGGATGTGGGGTCTGCAGCGCCGCAGCCACTCTTCCTCCTGCCTGCGCTGCTCTGCCCCACCCTGGGCCAGCTTCCGCCTGCCAGGCTCGGCCCGGCTCTCGTCTCCAAGACAGAGGCCGTGTGTCCTGTGACCTGCCTTGCTGTCACCAAAGTCCTGCAGTGATGAGCACATTGCTACAAATGAACACGGCTGGAAGAGCACCAGGTTGCTAGGCAAAGTGCGTTTATTAGGAGGGTGCAAGGGAGGGCCGCTGGCACCTCAGAGAGTTGGGCAAGCAGAGGGAGAAACAGACCCGAGAAAGGAAAGGGCCGCAGGGAAGGGTGTGCGGCCGGCAGGCTGCTGGAGGTTTCCGGGACGGTTGCTGGCTGCTGCAGGCGTGGGGGCTGCTCCGGCCGTTCCATTTGTGCTTCCGGGCTGCTTTTGCCGAGGGCACCCAGGCCCGCCCTGGAGCACCAGGACCTGCATCCCTGCTGCTTTGGTGCCTGGGTCCTAGCGCACGAAGGAATTGCAGGGCCCACAGCGGGGGCGAGGGACGCAAGGCGTGCAAGGGGCAGGGGGCGGGCAGGGTGTGCAGGGATTGGCGACGCAGGGCCCGATGGGCTTGCCGCACGCATTGGTGGTGGCACACGGGTTGCAGGGCAGCCTGCGGACAAAGAAGGATGCAGAAAGGTGAGTTGCAAGGGGCGAGGATCCTACGCTGGAGCAACCCCAGGAGCTGGATGCCTACCAGGACTCAGCCTGGCCAAGAACAGGGAAAGCCCAGGCCCCTTGTGCAAAACAAGCACGCTGCTTGTGCATTTCTTGTCATATGGCTGAGCCCACAGTGCCAGGCAGAAACTCTGCAGCTCTGAACTCTAGCCCCACCTGCCCACCCCTAGCTGTGACCTTGGGCAAGTGACCTTCCCAAAGCCTAATGTCCTTAGCTACAGAGTACTAAAGGACCGACTCAGCCTGCCTGGTAATGAGGGGGCCAGACAAGGGCATGTGGAGGTGTGGCCCTGGCATCCAATAACCAGATCAGCATCCAGGCTACTGTGCACATTAGATGATGCTTGCTGTGGAACGAGTCCATGTATTTAATGATGGGCCTGCGGGCTCCCTGGGCCCTGCCCGGGCAGGACAGCTGGGAAGATACGACTTCCTCTCCGAGTTGTGCAGCCCTGCCGACTCCTCAGAAGCCGCCTCCAGCGCCCTACTCACTTGCAGTCTTCACTCTCCAGCAGCCCCCGGTACGTGTTGATCTCGCACTCCAGCCGCGCCCGCACGTCCAGCAGCACCTGGTACTCCTGGTTCTGCCGCTCCAGGTCACCCCGGATCTCCGCCAGCTGCGACTCCACGCTGCTGATCAGCTGCTGCACCTGCGCCAGCTG